TATGACACCTTAAAGGTATAGTTCACCCAAAATGGTAAATTCTGTCATCATTTATTCACCCTCAAGTCTTCAGCTAAACACAAAAGAAGATATTTTGAAGAATATGGGTAACCTAACTGTTGATGGACCCCACTGACTAATATAGTATGGAAAACCAATATTCTTATATTCTTCAAAATATCTTCTTTTGTGTTCAGCTGAACAACTTGAGGGTGATTAAATGATGAAATCATTTTTGGGTGAACAATCATTTTAAAACTCCCAATAATCACTTTATGTCTAAAAAAATGATTGAACAATTCAACATATCACTTTTTTTTAGTAAACAGTTTGACACATTCAGTTAGTTTTGGTTTAAAGATAACGATAACTATATTGGCCTCCACACCAGAGGATATCGTTCTGTTTATTGTGCCAGTTTGTGTCTCCTGTCACTTAAATCCTCAAGCATGCATATGCTGGGAAAAAAATGGTATTGACAGTGATTCCAACGCTATTGTTTCTCTGCCCTGTTGTCTTTATAATTGTGGGGTGAAACTGCTTTTCCTTTATATTTAGAAAGATTTTTAGAACCATATTCTTATCGTTATAGTTATTGTGGTGTGAACATCCCTTAATTCATATTTATATTTTCCAAACTGTTTAGAGTTCTGTAATGTTTTGTTTACCTATGTGTGTTCATCAAACATTTTGTTGAGGTAAAGCAGGGAGATTAAGCAAATGCAATTAATTCCAAAAAAGTCAGTGCAGTTATAGCACCATTTACGCTCCAGGATGTACAAGGCCAGATGGCAGAGCAGAGTCCATTTACACTGACCAATTGGGGCCTTTATGCTGAATGACTTTGGTACTGATGACATATAATGTTATGACAGCTGTTAGTTTAAAGCAGATACTTACGTGATTATACTACATTATAATATTGTCAACAAGCAAGCTTGCATGCTACCTTTTAAGTCAGCACACACCACAACCTTAATTCCAAATGTCACCACATTAAACTCTAAGAAGGAGATTTAAGGGCATCCTAGTGCTAAAGGCGTGATGTGGAAAACTGATAATGAAGTCTTACACCGATGGTAAACATTGCTGCAACAGTCTATATCAATAGACGATATTGAAATGAATGTAAAACATATGCCTGCATATATAACTATGGCACATAGAGTCATCTGATATCATCTAACCTGTTACATCCTTAAAAAGTAAGTCATTTATTAATGCTTAAGCAACTATATAATCATTTAGCAAGTCATCATACTGGGTCTATTGAATGCAAGCAAGCATTTTGATATCTATTTCCACCTTTCTCTCGTTTCCATTATCAATATACTTATCCTGTATGGTTTAATTTCTTGAACTTTTAAAACAAACCAATACAATTTGGAATGAATTTCAGTGATACTGAGTTGAACAAACGGTACTGTAACATCGAAATATTGATTGGCCAAGTGGATTTCTGAAAGGTCTCAATTCTTAGACATAAAACTAATAAACTAACTGGACAAATTTTGTCTGAAAAGTTACTCAATATTAACTTTGTTAGTGTTTTTGTGTAAAAGCATACAGTATAGGCCTATATTTAAGCACAACAACAATAGCGAAATTTCTTGCGTGCAGCAACACAGAAGTGATCTTAAGATGTCTTAAAACAAATTAAAGAGAGAGGAAACACGCAGCACAGATGTCTCAGCAACTGTGAATGAGTGAAGCTGTAGAAACTGTTTCTGGGACAGGATGAGCACTAATCCTATCCAGACCATGCCTTGAGAAACAAGCACTCACTGCAAAAAAAAAAAAAAAGTACAGAAAGGACTGGGACAGATGAGAGAAATGAGAAACTAAAGAGCGGGAAGTGAGCAAAGATCTTTGAGGAATGATTGGGAATTATTCTGTATCCAATAATTCCCTTAAAACTTTGAAAATGTTTTTCATAATTTTATCCAGAATGTTTAAGGTCTTGGATGTAAAGTAGCTTCTGCAGATAAGTACAAATACAGATTAAATACAGATTTTGTCAGAGGGACTGTGTCCATTCATAAGATGGCATGTGCCAATGCCATGGAAGAAATCACACATTCTCATGTCTAAATTTGGCACAGTTGCACCAACTAAGTCACTTTCTGCAGATCATTTGGTCCAATGCAATTTTTTTTTCAGCCTCTACTCTGCCCACCATAATTTATTATTATTATTATTTTTTAATCCATGGAACATATCAGAATATAGGGGTACCATCTTAAAGGGATACTCCACTTTTTTTGGATATAGGCTCATTTTATCTCCCCCCATAGTTAAACAGTTTTGCCGTTTTCGAATGTCAAATCATAGTCATACTATGGATGCAAATGAGACCAGACACTGTCTGGTTACTGATATTCTTCTAAATATCAGAAGGGGATTCCATGTGTAGAAAGCACTAGGAAGAGAATGGGCTCTCGAAAGTTACAATAAATATAGATGTCCCTTGATATTCTTCTAAATATCAGTAAATCGTCTGAATGGATTTGAAAACGGTAAAACTCAACTGTTTAACTCTGGGGGAGTTGTAAAATGAGGCTATTTCCAAAAAAAAAAATTGAGTACCTTTAAGAAAAAGTACTGTAGGGCCTTTCCTTTAGTTATGAGAGTTATCTTTTCATCGGCACCAAGCGTCACACCTCTCACAAAAAAGGTGTATGCATATTTTCTATAAAATGAAGAAAAATGCATGGTTAATAGTTTTATTTAAATTAATTTAGTATAATTCCAACCAATTAGGTCAAAATCCCGACACTGTCGTGCGATTTTAATTGTAGCTACTGCCTATAATTACTGTTTTAATCTGTATAATGTAGGCCTATACCGTAAGAAGGTCTTGAATTGTTCCCTAAGACATTTAATTTAATTTTATGAAAGATAAAAAATAACCTGGGATTTGTGTCTCTTAAAAAAATGGAATGGAACACAGTCAACCTTAAAGTAGGCTAGAGTCCTTAATGTAGAATACACGCATTAAAGATCTGAATGCTTCTGAATTCTTTTTCAGGTTACAAACCCCTAACACTGGTCATAAATACACTATAATACTATTTACAATGACCCAAACATTTTGATTCGGCTCTTCCAACTTTTAGACTTTAAATCAACATACCTTGAGTGACAGCCGTGATTATCGTTGGCAATAATATCTGCAGAATCCGCCATAGGTGAGAATAGACGCTCATTTTGGCCACGGGGGTTATCTATGATATGTCCCATTAACGTTTCTGACATTTATGAATCCTAAACAGGAGAGACCGAGGAGCGCGTTCGGTCCGTCGGCATCATGATGCTGTTTAACCTGTGGAATCTTCACCTGTGCACGCGCTCCACAGATCCACTATGAAGAGCTGCACACTTCTGAATAATGCATTCCAACTGGATAAGCGGCACGTGAGGCAAAACTTGACTGGGGATCTTTAGCGAGATGCATTACTTTGGAACCCATTTTGTCGATCTTTTCTAAATGAATGCACAGCTTTCCGTTATAATCCAACGAATGAAAGGTAACATTTCAGTTTTTCTCTTGTCTGATAGCCTAACTCCTTCTATTGTGGTCTCGTCCGTGTAGTAGAAAGTGTCCTGACAGCTCAAAACACCACAATCATCTGTCTGCACGTCACCCATCGCGAGCTTTAGATCCTCATCAGTCCAGAACACGAGCGACGGGATTTACCGCTAACAGTGAATTAAACACAGGCAGGCATTGAGACCGAGTTATGCGATTAACCGATCAACGCAGTGTGTAGGCTATACGACCACAAAGAGATTAAAGATGCTTGTGTTATACATCATATTGCATGATACAATCTGTAGTGTAACAGTGTGAAATCGTACACCTAAAAAACGCCAAAAGTTTCTCTTAAATCACCAAAACTGTCATTAAGTCAGCCTGTGCTTTGGTCGTGGAATGACAGTGACATCTCGTGGTCATGTTTGATACTATATTATGTTCAAGTAAAAAAAAGAATGTATTGGCCAGCATATATATAACATATATATATCTGTATAACAGTTCTCTTGTATAGATTATATATATATAATCAGAACCGCATAAGGTTTACAAATACTTCTTTTACACCCCCTCGCTGACTATATATATATATATATATGAAGAGTTCAGATGCAAAAGCCTCTAAATGCCATTTGAAATTTTCTTCTTTAATGATGATTTTTATCAATATTGTATATTTAAGTTTAGTAATTTCACTTAAATAACAATTAATAGGTAATTATCATTGCCATTTAAGTGAAATCACTGAACTTAAATATACAAACTTGATAAAAATGATCATTCTAGAAGAAAATTTCAAATGGCATTTAGAGGCTTTTGCATCTGAACTCTTCATATATATATATATATATAGTCAGCGAGGGGGTGTAAAAGAAGTATTTGTAAACCTTATGCGGTTCTGATTATATATATATAATCTATACAAGAGAACTGTTATACAGATATATATATGTTATATATATGCTGGCCAATACATTCTTTTTTTTACTTGAACATAATATAGTATCAAACATGACCACGAGATGTCACTGTCATTCCACGACCAAAGCACAGGCTGACTTAATGACAGTTTTGGTGATTTAAGAGAAACTTTTGGCGTTTTTTAGGTGTACGATTTCACACTGTTACACTACAGATTGTATCATGCAATATGATGTATAACACAAGCATCTTTAATCTCTTTGTGGTCGTATAGCCTACACACTGCGTTGATCGGTTAATCGCATAACTCGGTCTCAATGCCTGCCTGTGTTTAATTCACTGTTAGCGGTAAATCCCGTCGCTCGTGTTCTGGACTGATGAGGATCTAAAGCTCGCGATGGGTGACGTGCAGACAGATGATTGTGGTGTTTTGAGCTGTCAGGACACTTTCTACTACACGGACGAGACCACAATAGAAGGAGTTAGGCTATCAGACAAGAGAAAAACTGAAATGTTACCTTTCATTCGTTGGATTATAACGGAAAGCTGTGCATTCATTTAGAAAAGATCGACAAAATGGGTTCCAAAGTAATGCATCTCGCTAAAGATCCCCAGTCAAGTTTTGCCTCACGTGCCGCTTATCCAGTTGGAATGCATTATTCAGAAGTGTGCAGCTCTTCATAGTGGATCTGTGGAGCGCGTGCACAGGTGAAGATTCCACAGGTTAAACAGCATCATGATGCCGACGGACCGAACGCGCTCCTCGGTCTCTCCTGTTTAGGATTCATAAATGTCAGAAACGTTAATGGGACATATCATAGATAACCCCCGTGGCCAAAATGAGCGTCTATTCTCACCTATGGCGGATTCTGCAGATATTATTGCCAACGATAATCACGGCTGTCACTCAAGGTATGTTGATTTAAAGTCTAAAAGTTGGAAGAGCCGAATCAAAATGTTTGGGTCATTGTAAATAGTATTATAGTGTATTTATGACCAGTGTTAGGGGTTTGTAACCTGAAAAAGAATTCAGAAGCATTCAGATCTTTAATGCGTGTATTCTACATTAAGGACTCTAGCCTACTTTAAGGTTGACTGTGTTCCATTCCATTTTTTTAAGAGACACAAATCCCAGGTTATTTTTTATCTTTCATAAAATTAAATTAAATGTCTTAGGGAACAATTCAAGACCTTCTTACGGTATAGGCCTACATTATACAGATTAAAACAGTAATTATAGGCAGTAGCTACAATTAAAATCGCACGACAGTGTCGGGATTTTGACCTAATTGGTTGGAATTATACTAAATTAATTTAAATAAAACTATTAACCATGCATTTTTCTTCATTTTATAGAAAATATGCATACACCTTTTTTGTGAGAGGTGTGACGCTTGGTGCCGATGAAAAGATAACTCTCATAACTAAAGGAAAGGCCCTACAGTACTTTTTCTTAAAGGTACTCAATTTTTTTTTTTGGAAATAGCCTCATTTTACAACTCCCCCAGAGTTAAACAGTTGAGTTTTACCGTTTTCAAATCCATTCAGACGATTTACTGATATTTAGAAGAATATCAAGGGACATCTATATTTATTGTAACTTTCGAGAGCCCATTCTCTTCCTAGTGCTTTCTACACATGGAATCCCCTTCTGATATTTAGAAGAATATCAGTAACCAGACAGTGTCTGGTCTCATTTGCATCCATAGTATGACTATGATTTGACATTCGAAAACGGCAAAACTGTTTAACTATGGGGGGAGATAAAATGAGCCTATATCCAAAAAAAGTGGAGTATCCCTTTAAGATGGTACCCCTATATTCTGATATGTTCCATGGATTAAAAAATAATAATAATAATAAATTATGGTGGGCAGAGTAGAGGCTGAAAAAAAAATTGCATTGGACCAAATGATCTGCAGAAAGTGACTTAGTTGGTGCAACTGTGCCAAATTTAGACATGAGAATGTGTGATTTCTTCCATGGCATTGGCACATGCCATCTTATGAATGGACACAGTCCCTCTGACAAAATCTGTATTTAATCTGTATTTGTACTTATCTGCAGAAGCTACTTTACATCCAAGACCTTAAACATTCTGGATAAAATTATGAAAAACATTTTCAAAGTTTTAAGGGAATTATTGGATACAGAATAATTCCCAATCATTCCTCAAAGATCTTTGCTCACTTCCCGCTCTTTAGTTTCTCATTTCTCTCATCTGTCCCAGTCCTTTCTGTACTTTTTTTTTTTTTTTGCAGTGAGTGCTTGTTTCTCAAGGCATGGTCTGGATAGGATTAGTGCTCATCCTGTCCCAGAAACAGTTTCTACAGCTTCACTCATTCACAGTTGCTGAGACATCTGTGCTGCGTGTTTCCTCTCTCTTTAATTTGTTTTAAGACATCTTAAGATCACTTCTGTGTTGCTGCACGCAAGAAATTTCGCTATTGTTGTTGTGCTTAAATATAGGCCTATACTGTATGCTTTTACACAAAAACACTAACAAAGTTAATATTGAGTAACTTTTCAGACAAAATTTGTCCAGTTAGTTTATTAGTTTTATGTCTAAGAATTGAGACCTTTCAGAAATCCACTTGGCCAATCAATATTTCGATGTTACAGTACCGTTTGTTCAACTCAGTATCACTGAAATTCATTCCAAATTGTATTGGTTTGTTTTAAAAGTTCAAGAAATTAAACCATACAGGATAAGTATATTGATAATGGAAACGAGAGAAAGGTGGAAATAGATATCAAAATGCTTGCTTGCATTCAATAGACCCAGTATGATGACTTGCTAAATGATTATATAGTTGCTTAAGCATTAATAAATGACTTACTTTTTAAGGATGTAACAGGTTAGATGATATCAGATGACTCTATGTGCCATAGTTATATATGCAGGCATATGTTTTACATTCATTTCAATATCGTCTATTGATATAGACTGTTGCAGCAATGTTTACCATCGGTGTAAGACTTCATTATCAGTTTTCCACATCACGCCTTTAGCACTAGGATGCCCTTAAATCTCCTTCTTAGAGTTTAATGTGGTGACATTTGGAATTAAGGTTGTGGTGTGTGCTGACTTAAAAGGTAGCATGCAAGCTTGCTTGTTGACAATATTATAATGTAGTATAATCACGTAAGTATCTGCTTTAAACTAACAGCTGTCATAACATTATATGTCATCAGTACCAAAGTCATTCAGCATAAAGGCCCCAATTGGTCAGTGTAAATGGACTCTGCTCTGCCATCTGGCCTTGTACATCCTGGAGCGTAAATGGTGCTATAACTGCACTGACTTTTTTGGAATTAATTGCATTTGCTTAATCTCCCTGCTTTACCTCAACAAAATGTTTGATGAACACACATAGGTAAACAAAACATTACAGAACTCTAAACAGTTTGGAAAATATAAATATGAATTAAGGGATGTTCACACCACAATAACTATAACGATAAGAATATGGTTCTAAAAATCTTTCTAAATATAAAGGAAAAGCAGTTTCACCCCACAATTATAAAGACAACAGGGCAGAGAAACAATAGCGTTGGAATCACTGTCAATACCATTTTTTTCCCAGCATATGCATGCTTGAGGATTTAAGTGACAGGAGACACAAACTGGCACAATAAACAGAACGATATCCTCTGGTGTGGAGGCCAATATAGTTATCGTTATCTTTAAACCAAAACTAACTGAATGTGTCAAACTGTTTACTAAAAAAAAGTGATATGTTGAATTGTTCAATCATTTTTTTAGACATAAAGTGATTATTGGGAGTTTTAAAATGATTGTTCACCCAAAAATGATTTCATCATTTAATCACCCTCAAGTTGTTCAGCTGAACACAAAAGAAGATATTTTGAAGAATATAAGAATATTGGTTTTCCATACTATATTAGTCAGTGGGGTCCATCAACAGTTAGGTTACCCATATTCTTCAAAATATCTTCTTTTGTGTTTAGCTGAAGACTTGAGGGTGAATAAATGATGACAGAATTTACCATTTTGGGTGAACTATACCTTTAAGGTGTCATAGTAAGAAAGAGTGTCATGTTCAGTTTTATTTAAAGAAGTTTGAGGTATTTGGAAGAAGAGAAGCAACTGTTGATGTTTTTCAAAGGCATCTGTGCTGTCAGCTTCTATTTGTAGTCCTTTGAGTCTTTTTTACTGTATTCTCATAGCATGGTAGTGAAACCCACTGCTTTTTTCAATGTTTCCAAATCTACTCAAGAGTTTCTTGTTCCTATGGAACCTACAGTAAGCCCTGAGTACAGTAAAACTCAATGCAAATAATAAAATCCAACTAGCCATATTATCTTGCATAATCAATTGTTTAATTATTGGCTTAATAAATATAATAATAATAATATATGTCAAGGGCATTTTGTTGCAATTTTAGAATTGTGTTAGGTCACCATGATTTCAAATGTACGGTCTGGGTCTTGAAGCAAATCCTGATCTAGAACATCATTCACTCCACTGTTGCTGTTAAAGCCATTTTGCTGAGCACATGCAGTCAGCAGAATGCTTTCTCAGGGCGGACTGAACAGATAATGAATGGATGGATAGAATCTGAGTGATTTTACTATATTTTCAAGATTATTTATGGAGGGTAAAATAAAAATGGGGTTATTTTTTTCTTCTCTCAAACCTGCTAACGTTGTTTCAGTTATGTACAGTACTACAATAATGTCCTATTAGGTAACGTTTTGACAATGTCTAATAATATGACATAGCACATCATATCTTTGTTAACTTTTGTTGATAAAAATACAGCTGTGTATTGTTTAGTTTATTAGGGCCGCCATGGCCTAATGTTTTAGACAGTCAGACTGGTAACCTGAAGGTTGTGGGTTTGATTCTCAATACTGACAGGTAATGGCTGAGGTTCCCTTGAGCAAGGCTTCCCTGGTCACTCCCCGGGTGCAGCAGCAAAAATGTTTGCCCACTGATCCGGGGGTGTGTGTTTGTCCATGGTTCGCTGTGTGTGTTCTCACACTCTAAAAAATGCTGATTTATTTCCACTCAAATTTGGGTCAAATATGGACAAACCCAAATTTGGGTTAAACATGTAATTAAAAAATGTAGAGTTGAAAGTGAAAGTTGAAGTTGGGTCAAAATTTTAAATTACATTTTTAACCCAACATTTGGGTTTGTCCATATTTTACCCAATTCTGGGTTAAAACAACCCAGCATTGTTTAGAGTGCACTATTATGCGTGTGCACTAACTTGGATAGGTTAAAAACAGAGGAAAATTCATTGGGTTACCATACTTAGCCTTCACATGTCACTTTCCCTTTATGTTAGCCGAGCCCATTCTCATCCCAAGGCGTCATATACGACGCTTTTGCAAAAGCGTAAACATCCAACGCACACACTCTAAAAAATGCTGGGTTGTTTTAACCCAACTTTGGGTCAAATATGGACTAACCCAGCCGTTGGGTTAAATTTTTACATTACATTTTTAACCCAACATTTCGGGTTTGTCCATATTTGACCCAAAATTGGGTTAAAACAACCCAGCATTTTTTAGAGTGCATATGCCACCCTTTAGCGTCAAATATAACGCAGATATATATGGAGCAGAAGGCGCCTCCTAGTGGTCTAACCCTAAACCTACCCCATACCTAAACCTACCATAACCAAAGCGTCTCATTTTATGCTAAACGGCGCCATGTGCGTTGGATGTTTACGCTTTTGCAAAAGTGTCGTATACGACGCCTTGGGATGATAATGCGTTGGTTAGCCCATGTCCTTTAAATACTTTTAAAGTACCCCTATAATGCTAATTTAAAGGGTTAGTTCACCCAAAAATGAAAATTAAGTCATTAATTACTCACCCCCATGCTGTACCAACCCCGTAAGACCTTCGTTCGTCTTCGGAACACAAATGAAGATATT